CTCCTTAGATGTCTGATCCGGCTACAGTGAGGTTTTGTGTGTGTGTGTGTGTGTCGCGTTCCGCATGGACAGCTGGAAGGATGAGATATTTGAGGCAATCCGTTTCTCACACTCGCAGTTGGTGTCCGAGCAGGCTAATCCGCGATTGCCGGATTCGGGCCTTCCGCACAATCAGATGTCGAGCAGAATTCAGTCTAAGGCTACGGTTTGTCGCTTTGGGTTTGGGGAGAACAAGCGGCAAGTGTTGGGATGTGCGAGGTGAGCCGTCTTTAACTTTCACAAGTAGTGTCCAGGCGCGATGCTGTAGTGCAGGGGCATCGCGCTTGAGTTTGCTGTTTGGGAGATCTTGCATGGTTCCCTGGTATGTCTCGTCGTTCCGCTAATTGTGTCATCCACATGCCTACCAAGGGCAGTTCTTCGGCGAAGTGGCGGCTTCAAGGCATGGTAATCTGGTCAAACACAATCTAGTGCAATTGCCAGCCTGACATTCTGCCCGTGGCTGTGCGGCTATGCGCACCGATTGTTGCCGCAGGTCGTGCACAAGCTGGGACATGACATGTAGTATAGACGCGATAGGCCAAGAGACCATGGGCCATGGTGGCATCAACTTGGCATCAACCCCTGACCCAGCGAACAACCGCACGCTTTTAAGGACTGTCCAACGTCCAAAGATGTCCAAGCCACTTGGTTCTTCTTTCCCAACTATTTTCGTTTTCAGACGAAACCGTATGGCACAGAGGCAGCTACGGCACAGATCATCAACTTGACCACCAGAGTCTTGCAAACTGCACAGGTTCGCCTCACTCCATGCAAAGCCGACTGTGTGTTGAAGGAAGTGTTACTCCCTCGTGAGCAAAGCACGGAACTTCCCTGTTTTTGTTGTTCTTTGCCTGATGGGCATGCCGTTGGCTTCCTTTCATCTGCCTCGTCGCTCAAGAGAGCTTTTCGCACAGCACGGGACAAGACGAAATGCATGATGCACCGCATCCATGCTGCATGCGATTGCTGCCAAGACGTCCATCCACCAACGTATCACATTCGTGACTTCAGCTGTCTGTCCCTGGCTGGTATGCACACCTGCCGGCTACTGCACGTACCGTGACATTCGACGGTTGCTTGTCAAACTTCTTGGTGAAAATGAAAATCAGCATGTGACCGACATGGGCATCTAAAAGCTTGATGGGCCGAGACTGTATGCGGACGTGCACATCTGCCGTTGACCTTCGCACTTGCACACCTTTAGTTTTGGGACAGGCCGACCACTTCGAGACAGCCACTGGCGACAATGAAGTTCCTGAGAAGGACTGAAGCCGAAACCCGATGACGCGTAGCAGTCGGCACTGCATCGAGATAATTCGACCCAGGCAGCGAAGCATCCGTAACCGCCGTGGCAGGGTCTTGTGGGTTTGGGACGGACATAGCTGTGGGACTTGCTGCTCTCGAAAAGACGAGGACTTGATGGATATGTTGACCTCACTGAACGAAATTGCCCCGCACTTATTGCCAGCTGGAGATTGTTTTGGCGGGAAGCGCATGCCCTCGGACCCAGGTTGTGAGTGCGGACAAAGAGCACAAGGCTTTTGAAAAGCTTTCCAGTGTTCCTTCCTCAGTCCTCAGTCGACGAAGAATCTGATTGGAACATATAGTACCTGGATGTACCTGGTAGTGCTCTCCTCAACCACGGGCCTCTGCCTGCTCGTCGCGAAGTGCCCGTCAGGCACGTGGGACTGCCTGCCAGTCGACCGAGACGAGTCTCCAACAGTCCGATGCCAACAGTGGAACCATGACGAAGGGATCTTCCACCAAGTGCATAAGAAGTGCACAGCTGCCTACATAAAAGCTGCATAAGGATCAAGATCGGTTGTTTGTAGTTGTACTATTGGACCATTGGATTCTTCAGCGACACGGGCGTTGAAGAAGACAGCAGAATACCAAGGTCCATCTCCGAGGGAAGTCAGTCTATCAAGACCGCAGCTGCCTCGGGCACTGATGGAGAAGCACAGCTGCACATTCGCCCTGCCAGAGTCGTGTTGCTTGTTCAGCGTCCCTGGATGCCATTCTAGATCCCCCCTCCATCGGCGACATCAAAGCCCTGTCGGTAGTTGTCGTGCGCAGAGGCACAAGTCGAGCTGTCGAAAGCCATGAGCGAGGTTGAGTCCATCCAGGTGCCACGCCAAAGCAGCACCCAACTCACAGGTGCAAATTGACTGCTTGAAGTTGAGATTCACGAACTTGACATGCTAGGGAGATGTGACTGAGCTGAAGTCTCAAGTCAAGACAGTTGAGGATGAGCCGGGCTCTTTGCTACTTGCTCGTCCATTGACTCGCGTCCGTTTCTGTGGATGCGAATCTTCATGATTTACTGTGGTGTCCGTGTATCATGCAAGCACAGACCCCGCTAAGGGTTGCTGCTCTTCAGAAGCAACTTGCTAATCTACGAACGGAACGCTTCTACCTCAGCGCTGTTGTAGATGCGGTGCTTGCAAACAATGCCAACGCCTTAAATCCACTACTCACTCGAAGGTCAAGCGGCTGTTGCCCGCGACTCTGGCTACACTCGGGAAGTGAAGGCGGCTCCGGACTCTAGAGACTCGCGGAGCCTATCGAAACTCGAGCATCGTGAAGACATCCCCTGCCAGGCCATCCTGAGCAAGGCCAAGCAAAGAATAGATCAGGCAGGGCTGACTCTGCAGTGTGCTAGTGGGAAAGTGTTCTTTGCTTGGCTTTCAGAGAATCCTTTGGCGAGAATGCACCGTGCGCGCACTGGAGTTTCTTGAGAAAGCCCATGAACAAGTTGCACGCAGAATGTCTGAATGGAATAGGATCTTTGGGCTCAAAGGCAGCGTGCGCAGATCTCATCGACATGGACACTCCCCGGAAGAAGCACGCAGCTGCTTCACCCAAGACTCCAGCGACTCCAGCATGGGTGAGGAACTTGCCTTTTTCGTGCATATGGCAGAGACAAGTCGTGATTAGACCTAGACCCGAATTGCATTCACACGTAGCTTGTCCGGGCCCGCTTAATTGAGATCCTCAGCACCTCAAGTGAATGGTAAGAGTGCTTTGTCACACGAAATGCGGCAGGACGCCGTGACATGCCCATTCTCGCTGCATAAAAGCATCAGACGTTTCCCGATCGCTGTATAAAACTGTCAGACTTGTTTATTCACTCGCTGCATCGAGCGTCAGATTTCTCTTCGCCCCTTCACATCCCTTCACTATCAGATGTGGTTCAAAAAAATCACTGTGGAGCAATCCTTTGCACCGCAGTCAATGTACTCTTCGCAGGTCTGGTCAAGGAGCGGTGCCCACAAGCTGGACGAGGCGGCCGAGCTTCTGCAGGGAGACAGCAAGGAGCCTTCGATTGCTAGTGGATGCTGGAAGTGATTTGAACCATCCGACGAGAGCATGCAGCATCATGTGGCAACCCTGGAGGACAGCGACCAGGGTAGAGAGGGCAGCGAGGCCAGTGATTGCGTTGTTCGGTTGCAGCAGGGAGTGTGCTTTGCATCTAAACTTCTTATTTTCTAAACCTTGGCCAGGAGCTTCTCTTCGCAGTCATCCAACATGCCAACTTTAGACTTTCATGTCTGCTCGTTTGATCATGCACCTTTCATCTCAATCAGCGAGAAGTAGTCGACGGCCATCGTCCAATCCAGCAAAGCAGCGAAAAGAGTCTCAAGCTGCCCATGACTCGTCGCAGTGGTAACTCTCAAGACCTTCATCTTGCCAGTAGCTGTGTTCGTTGGTACTCAATTCTCGTCGCCGGAGATGGTTGCTGGATTCGTCTCTGGGCCCCCTTGAGAGCAGACGGCCATGGCGCAAGCGTCTGAAAAGCAGGACCTGCGACCCGGCTCTATGCTGGAGCCTTGTTGACTAGGGCTCTTCCTGTGAGGAGGGAGAAGCCACGGTGATGGGCAGCGCGCGGCCGCCACTGCCGGGCAGCTCGGCGTAAGCCAGGATTGGGCCGAGAGAGGCTCCCCCCCCCCTTTGCCACCCGAAGATCCAGAGGCCAGAGATGGATTCATCCCACACCCTCCGGGCGAAACGCTGTCTCTGATCTCTTTCTTGTATCTTTAGCCTGTGTCAGAGGCTTCTCTGCCAAGACCGAGCGATGGGTGATGGAGTTACATGCTCAGATGCACGACGTGGGGCAAGCGCGTGGTCAGCACGAGGGTCTGCAAGATTCCAACAGCAGCCGTGCATCTCGGAAGTTTGGGGTACAGCTCTGGTATGCAGCATGCTTGAGCGTGCCCGCTGTTCAGGCTAATTTACGGCAGGCGCTGCGAAGCAGAGGAGAAGTACCTCAAGGACATGTGCCAGCATTCAAACTTCTACAAACCGAAGTCCAAAGCCACACGGACGCTGCACGCCAAGCAGCAGCCATAAGCTTCAGCACTGCGGCTGCCGCATCTGGGCAGGAGCGGCGCGAGAACGTGCCGATCACAAAGGCTCTTTTCACTGAAACAATGAACATGCCTGGAGCATCGAATGCTACGAGATTTCGCATTGGAAAAAGGTCCCGCTGATGAAAGCGAAAGGCTTTAAAGCCACCAGAAACCAAACCTATATTGTCGTGGGCTCAGATTTATCCGTCCTCCCGCTTGAATGAAGTTTGGCATTGCCGCAGATGCGACAGATTGTGCGACAGTGGCCTCAGAGTGGAGGTGTAGACTACGCTAATGAATGAGTTCGAATGTACTTTCGCGAGCGACTCCTATAGGTTTCCGTAAACGAAGACACTGTGGAGTTGATCTGAGTTAACTGTTTGCTTGCAATTGCGGGTTCAGAGCTTCGAAACCATTCCGTGTCTTTGAGCGTTTAAGCTTGGGCGACTCAGGACATCCGGCCGGCCACTCCATCAGTGGCCAGCAACATGAGCCGAAGGAGCAGGGCCTCCTTCACTGGTCGGAGCATCTGCAGTTTGTGCCTTTGCCACTTCGAGTGTGCCACAGTGCCTGGGACGACAACGTCGCTGCCGAGGCCAGCCGAGACGAGACCTCAGCCGGCACGCGAGTCTCGGAGAGCTAAAGTCCCAAAGAGCTGAGCCCATCCAGGACTGGCTCAACCCCCTCTTGCGGTGTCTTGCGCCGATGCCCGGTCCGTGTCCGCAGGAGGTGGATGAGAGGCACGAAGCCGATGCTGGCCAGCCCGAGCCGGACCTCACGGAGCAGCTTTGCATGCAAACTGGCTTCCTTGTACCCTCGCCGCAGCCTTCAGCTCTCTGCTTAGGCAAAGAGAGCCCAAGAGCTTCGTCCTGCCGAAATATGCTTCTGGCATCAGAAAGCTGCCATTCATCGCCCTTAGCGTGCAACCGACCGACGCCTTCCTTCTGCCAAGGCTTTGGCGAAATACACGATGAAGCACATGCAACTCGGAAGAACTGCTTGCAATAATTGCACAAGCACAGTTCTTGACGTCCTACCTTTGCACGTGCGCCCAGGTATTTGGCCGAGTGCGGCACGCGCAGCACCAGCATGCAGAATCCTGTCGGCGTTGCACGGAGTGTCTGCGGTAGTTTCGTGATGCTCGCGCGACATGAGAGGTCCTCGCACTACAAGTTGCACCGTGGTTTAGGAGCTTTGCCGCACCATTGCGCAAGGAACCTTCGAAGCGTCATCAAGCCCGCGCACAATGTTCGCAGCGATCACCTTATTTGACGTATATGTAATTGTAGACTGACAGTGCGTGCCATGGCTTTTGTTGGAGCCCCGAGCTTACCGAGTTCAGGCACAGCTGCGAGCTTCTTCCAGCAGCCAGGAAGGTGACGACGCAGATCGACCTCCATTCGAGGCACAAGACCCTCATGAAGTCTCACGTCACCGAAGCTGGAAACTTCAGTGAACAGGGTCGAGACTCGTTGCCCGGCTCGTCGCGAAGCGATGATGCTCTTTCTCTCTCTTGGCATGCAGAAGCAGCCTTGACCACGAGTCTTTGCCACGAGTTAACGTCGGGTCCAGCCTGCCCATCTCGGACATGCCGAGAGCCAGCGTGCTCCAAAAGCGGGGTGTGCGAGTGTGCGCTTAAGCCTGCTGCGTGTGACTGTGGCCGCATTCGGAAAACTCTGAGCAGGCCTGGAATCCCAGCTCTTTGGCAGAGCTGCAAAGCACTGACGAAGACGCTTCCCAGGCTCCAGAGAAGACTGGGAGGCGCGATGCATCACGATGCCCTTGGCGATTCAGCCATGGCAATGCTGACTCCTCTGACAGGAAGGATGCGGCAGAAAGCAGTTCGAAGGCCATGAACACAGGATGCGAAGTTGAATGGGATCTGGAGCATCTGAGGCCCTCGACAAAGATGCGGCAGATGTGACCAAGGCTGCGCAGATTGCCCGCGAGGCCCTGCAGCCCCTCAGCATGACATGCATGGCTCAATTCACGCTCCCTGCTTGCAGGCCTTCGAGCTGGAGGCAGCACCTTTGCTTTGGAAGCAGACTGCCACGACATGATATATGAACATTTTACAGGCTTTGCTCAAACTCGCATCGTGTTGCAAAATCCAACGAACTTGGGCTTTTGTCTTGGCAGGAGCTGCGTTTGATGGATCTGATCAAGGCAAAGCGGAAGCTGCCCAGAACCCAGTCAAAGAGGGATTTTGTAGAAGGACGAAGCTCCCAAGCGCCCGCTGCAGCTGTGACATAGAAATGTGGGGACATGCTATAAACAATATATTCACCTCTTGCTTCGGTGTCATCGGTGATGCAGCTGGCGCGTTTCTGCAGTTCGTGTTTTCGGTGCCAGGCTCGAGCCCCTACAGGCAGGTCTTGCAGACCGACAGCCGGAGTGCGGGGCACAGAAGGGAGGCGAGACGTTGTGGGGAGTCTCAAGGAGTCTGTATCTTGGCCGTTGAGAGAAAGCTCTCTCTTTTTCCGACTGCTCTTGGATTCGCCGAGGTTGGCAGATCAGCTCAAGAAGATCTCAGAGGCTCGGGGACCCGGCAGAAGCAAAGAGAGAACCTGTCTGTGTGTGTGTGTGCGTGTGTGTGTGTGTGTCTCTGATGCATAGTGCAACCTGCTTCGTGATGATCCCTAATCATGGTACCCAGACACAAGCGGGACAAGGGCAGCCCACCGCTATTCCCTCGTTCGCCCAGGCCAACCGTACGGTTGCTCGAGACTCGGGGTACTGCTCACGTGTTGGGCTGCCTGCACTATGCTTGCCCGGCTTGCCCTGTCGAGCAGGATCCTTGCTTCATCCATACTCCTACCGTAGATCTGACTGATGTGCCCTTCCCTTTCTTGCAGTTGGCTCCTTGACTTCCGGCTAGTCGACCCCCGCGGGTCCGGTACAGCTACCAAAGCCCAACCTGAGCACAAATGATCTTCAATTATGCGAGGCCATGTCCAAAAAAGGGGTGCAGCGAGACACCGCAGTCTTGGAGAAGTCAGACGCTCAAAGCGTGCCGCCTTGCGTCAGTTCAAGACTATTCAGGGTTCAAGATTGAAGGTAGTGGTTGTTGTAGACAGCATACCATGGGGGGGGGGGCAGGTCCAAGAAGAAATGCGAGCTTCTCGCAGAGGCCGGGACGATTTCAATTCGTGCAGGTGTTATGATGGATCCGATTCATTACTGGTAGTCTACACCTCCGCATAAAAAAACCATTGATACAGACCTGATTACATTCAAAGTGTGTTTGCGTTCATTCCTGCATATGGAAACACATATACATGTCTCCTAATTATCGGCT